AGCAGCCGCTTGATCGTTTGTCGGCCCATTTTCAATTTGTTTAATTTCGTTTGCCAATTTTTGACTTGTTCTTGTTATATACACACCCTGTTGCCATGAAATCTCTAAAGGGGTATCATTATTTTTGTCTAAAACCCGGAAAGGCAAACGATTCGTTTCTCCTCCTTGAATTCATTTGCTTCATTTTAATTGAATAATATGTTGTTCATTCATTAAAGTGAATAATATTTTGTCAGCGTATCTGCAAGTGTTACACTCTCAAAAATATCATATTTTTACTAGTTTCGTTATTATGCCAAGTCACCTATCCAACATCGAACCGCACCGCACCGCACCGCACCACACCGCATCCCCTCACCTGGCTGCTCTCACTAATGAGGCCTCTGAATATAATCAGCACTGAGCAACGTCAATTTATCGTTGACCAAACTTTGGATGTCTGTACATCTGCTACGGTTTTCCTTTTTGATTCGATATTGCCACTGAGTGAGCGCCATTTGTAAACGACTTAAATGTATGCATTAGCATTAGAATACCAACCACATTTCGTAATTATATTTAACGCCCAAATTTTCCAGTCAATGCTTCAATTCATTTGAGCTTTTTCAGTGTGTATCTTGCATCAATCAATATTTATATATATATATATATGTAAATCCAAAGCAGACATATTTTCAGGCTTGCCTATTCCTCCCGCATGTAAATTTGAGAAATCTGTTTTTGCTTTTGCCATTCTTTCTCTTTATCTTTAGGTTATAACTCTTTTCAAAATTGATGCCCATTGAAAACTGCCGCCTCTCTTACTGGTCTCTCTACTTAATGGTCTCTGATGCTTTCTTTTCTATTTCGTCCACCCTCCTCTTTTTTGTGTCTCTTTCTCAATTCGCCGGTCTCTCTGTCTTTCTCACAGTGTGCCAATATCTCTTTTAAACATCTTACAGAATACCATATATTTATTTCCGCTGCTTTCTTCATCCCCATATCCTCAACGGTTCATCCTCTACCGCTCGCTGTACTTGACGCGTCAAAAAGCTTTAAAATATGCGATTGGCTAAAAGAAAAAATATTTTCATAGATAACATCTTAATTGGATTATCTTCTCACCGTGATTTGAATAGCTAGTTGGACCCAGTCGGCGTGAAAGCCAGCTCATTCGATTATACCGCACTTGCTGCATATCCTTCTGCCCGCCGCTTATCGCCTTACCGCTGTTCAGTGCAGTTGAGTCTACCCCTGGCAAGTTCGCTATTTTCATTTGACTTTACACACTCACGCACACACAGACACACACAGCCGTTAAATATGTTACGTTGCCTGAGCTTAAAAAACAAGAATGTAACTTATAGTTCACAACCTGTTCTCAGCCTAAAATGGACGAAATAGAATATTATGCATCTGCATATATGGGGAAGAAGGAATTGGAAAGGATAGCTCAAAAAGTCATAAATATAGGTTTTTTTGTCCGTTCTGTGTTAAAATTTTGTCGTTGCGCGTGTATAAAACGCATTGAAGGAGATGACTTCGATTCCATAATGAATATAAATTCTCAGAAAGTACATATGCATGTTGCTTTCCATAGATGTTATGGAAACAATCGATGAGTTCTTATACTAAAAGTATATTAAGATGTGAGCAAGAGAACTCCAATTTACAAGGGCATATACTGCTATCTAATTATATAATATTTTTTGGCTCAACTATAACGATTATCGTATGCAAATTAGACTCTTATTGCCTTTTGATGTTTATTTACTCGCTCTTTGTTCTCACTCTCTCATTTTTTCATTCAAGGCAGTCCCTCTGTGCCTCCTCAATTTTTAAATAAATTAGTTGTTTTAGCACAAAACTCATGCGAATATAATGCGAAAAATAAGAAAAACGGCACTCGTACATAAAAAACTCGAGTGCAAACAAAAATAGAAAAGTGTAAAAATGTAGGCAGTGAAATGAATGCAGCTGGCAATGCGACTTTGCTGGCTGTTGCACCAACAACAACAACAACAACAGGAAAAAGAGGAACAACAACAACACGGCCATAGAATTAAAAATAAAACTTACATAAATTTAGTAGTGACGGCGGCAGCATCGCAGCAGCGCTATTTGTCGCACTGCTCCCAAAATGCTTTTATTTTTGGAAGAAACAGTAGCAGCAGCAGCAGCAGCAGCAGCAGAAACGCCAACAACAACTGTCACAGCTGCAACAACCCACAACTAACAGCAACAACATTGAGAAATTGCACTTTCACCTCTTTTCGAATGCAGTCAAATGACTTTGAACTTAATGTGGAAATTGAAGTGGAAATGGAAGCACAAAGAACTCGAAATTGAAATGCTTAAACAACTTAAAAGTGATTCAAATGCTTAACGCTCTAGCTGCTTAAATGCAATGTGGCATACAACACACAACACACAGCACACAGCACACAGCAGACAGCATACAGCGAACAACTAAAAGCACCATTGAGACAAACTCCTCGGATTTAGTTCATATATTTGTTGATCTAAGCAACTGGGCCCAGTTTGCAGATTCTCAAACAACTTGTTGTTGTCGTTACCTTTGCCATCGACATGGCCGCAACAACAACAACAACAAACAACAACAGCGACAAATACAAGAAGAAGCAGAAAAATAAGAACCGCGTCTGCTATTAGCCAAAAAGAAAGAGTCGACACTTGTCGCAATGGCTAAAATATGTAGGTTAGGGAGTTAAGGGGCCAACCAGCTGCAGCCTCTTTGTGGGTGAATATATGTGTGTGTGTGTGTGTGTGTGTATGTATATGTGTTATTGCAGGCTTTTGCTGCCATTGGATGCTACTCTAAAATTCCAGGCACATACACACCATAAGCAGTTGGCAGCAACCAGCCAAAGACTTCAGCGAGTCATAAAATTCAGCGAGCGTGGCTTGCTATACCCTCGAAATTGGCAAAGGGGTGTGTCCAGTTGATAATTGCAGACAAAGTGTGAAAGAGTGAGAGAGAGAGAGAGAGAGAGAGCAAGTGTTTGATTCTGAAGATTAAAACCTCTGTTTCTCAAAGTGTAAAAGATTTCGAATATTATCGATTACTGATAATTGAACTGAATTTATTAACTTTTAATAAAAATTGTTATACAAAGCAGCTTCGCTAGACCCTTCAGATATATGCAAATAAAATTGATCTTTTCGATTTGAGGATAAACTTAGCACATTAGCTGATCATTGGAACATTGCGCAGCAACTCTCTTTATTTCTCTCTCTCTCTCTGCCTTCTCTCATCGCCAACTCATTTGCCATTTCAGACTATTATGTTGTTTTTATAAAGTGAAACTTTTTTAATTTTAATTTGGTTTTTCAATATGATCTCAAAATTCCCATCAACACTCTACTTCAACATCTACACACATATTTTTCCAGGGTATCTCCGTTGTCGGGCAGGTCACTGAATGACCAAGCTCTCATTTATTATTGTTTCTTTTGGATAGCATGGTTGGGGGTTTGGGTGAGTGTGTATGTGTGTGTGTTGTGTGGGGGGTGTTGGAAAGTCGAGTTGGTTTCGTTTGTTTTTTTTTGGATTCAGTGCGACTCCAGCTGAAGCAAATTAAATACAGGAAGTTTGCGAAATGTAAGGCGAATGGAAGGCACAAGGCAACAACGCATAATAATAGAAAAGGACGCAGCGGCAAATTTTTGGAGAGTTCGCCAGTGGCAGCAGTGAGACGGAGAGACGGAGAGATGGAGAGAGAGAGCGAGAGAGATACATTTTCCAAATGTTGTGTTACGGTTTTCGGCGTTTGCGGCACAACGAATTTGCACACAAAGCGACTTTCATAAAACATAAGCAAAGCCACTGTTCATATAAGTGTATGTGTTTGTGTGTGTGTGTGTGTGTATGTGTGTGTAATGTTTATGAGCACTTTAGATGGCCACTGTCCGGTGTTGTGCGGTCCCCGTCTACCCATCACTAACATCATTCACGTTTACGACGCTGCCCCAAGGCTGGCTGTTGCTTTCACCATGTGCAGGAGATGCCAACCCAGCAACCCAATAGCCCAACAATCCAGCTACCCAACAACCACCCACTATCTCACAAAAAGAAAAAAGAGAGAAATCCAAGCAGCCGCATGTTGGCCCCGGTCCAAGCCGCGTTGCCTCCGGGGCTTTCGCTTCTTTATTATTGTCAATGATTTGCTTTTGGGCTCATAAAATGCAAGCAAATTGAATATTTTTTTCAATGTTGTTGTTATTCCTTGTGCCTTTGTTGTTGTGTGTGTTGCTGTTGTTGTTGCTGTTTCGTTGTTTTGTTGGAACACGTGACGTATGCTTAATTATGTTATACATATTGCGCATACGCCTAGATGCATATAACGCGACCTGGGATCAAAGCAGTTTTTTTTCGTAAGCTGACAGATAGGAAGGGAGTGAAAGGGAGAAAGTGGCGGGGGCGGAGCGTTGACACGAGTTCCCGTATTATTTATAACTCAAAGTATACATGCATGTAAGTTTGACTGAATTTTTCAAGTTTAGAATATATTTCGCATCAAGTTTTAAGTCACTTTCGTTTTAAAGATTATCATTTTCTTTTCCATACCGAATTTCCAATTTGAAAATCACAACATTTTCCATTAAATTCAGAGTTCCCTCTTACAGTAAAACAAGAAAATTAGGTAAATAAAATATTTGAGTTTTCTCATAAAAACTTAAAGGCTAAGTAAGGAATTAAAAAATGAAGATATAAGCAAAGTGTGAATCTAAATCATATTTTGATTTCAATTCCGGTTCCGGTATGAAAAGTGTGAAGTGGTTTCGCTAAAGGATGGTTTGGTTCCGTTTGGGACTTTATGAACTAATTATATTGATTCCCGTATCTGAAGCTTTAAGGAAAGGTTTACTTTCCACTTCAAAAAGTGAATTTCAATCCGCAATTTGGCGATATGAGATTGAATATATGTGAATTGAATCTTTTCGATATAAGATTCAAGTCTTAAGCGGATTAAAGATATTTGAATGTTTCGATAACTCACCTTAGTGCTTGATTTCTTGTGTCGTAGTTAGGTTCGTAGTATTATGATATCGTATAGATTTGACAATTCGGATACGTAAGTATTACCAGCTATTATACATTGTAACTTAGTTTTGTAGAACGAAAAACGAAAGATAGCTGTTCTGTTTACTCCGATATTCATATATGCTTATATACACACACTTAAAGGGTTGTTGTATATATATAATTATACATATAAGGGATATTGCTCTCAAATTTCTTGTTGGCTCTCTTTGCTTTAGTTAGTTTTCACTTTGAATTTGGCTGGAAGTGCGGGCGAGATTATCAATTTCATCATCATCATCATCATCATCATCAGCAACATTTGAATGGGAATCATTTTCAAAATTATTACTATCATTTTTATATTATCATATTATTATTATGTATTATAATCATAAATATATTTCTGCACGTCACTTTTGTTGGTTAGACAAACAAAATAAAATATGTAAAAAAAAATTAATTTCATATTGAATATAGACGAAGGCGCGCTCTATACAAAGTGCCCAGACACACACGCACATAAACACTCACATACACATATCAGTCAAACACACACACACACACACACACACGTACAGGGCACAAAATAGAGACACGTTCCCGTTCGCGTTCGCGTTCGCGTTCGCGTTTTCTTTGAGATACGTTTGAATGGATTTTTGAGTGTATTTGTATTCGATTCGAGACGCGTTCGGTTTGCTGTTGTTTTTCTTGTTGTTGTTGTTGTTGTTGTTGTTCCTGTTGTTGTTGCTGTCACGTTTTGGCATAACTATTCAATTATCATTTATTGGCGCATTACTATTGCTTGCTAATCACTGCCGATGGCTGCTCATCCCTATGCCTCGCCTCCTGGCTGAGTGCGGGAATGCGTGGGCACCTCATTGCGGCCACTTGGACAATTCCAGCTCATTGAACGCGTTTAGGCCAACTGGGAATTGGCTTTGACTGCGGCTGTTTCTTTTTTGGTGTTGTTGTAATACTGCAATGGCAACGGAAAGCAAAAAGGAAACGGAAATTCATATCGGCTCTTTTAATAAATTTGCCATAAAATGTGGCAAATTGGGCACGCGCTATATTTACTTAATAAATATATATATAAATATATAGACATATATGCAAATAATGAATAAAAATAACTATTGTTTTTATCAAATTGAGTTTTTTTTGCCTGTCAATTTTATTATTTTTCTAATTAAAGCTTTTATTTCTTGTTTAGATGTTGTTTCTTCTCTGCTTCTAATTCGTTGCAAAAGGGCCTCTCATCTTTTCATTATTCTCTAGCTGCTCTTTCAAGAGTTAAGCTTTTATTTTCTTTCTTTCTGTTATCCTTCTAATTGTATTTATTTTTGCTTAGTAGTAGTTTCGTAAGCGTTTTACTGGCTGCATAGACACATTTATTTAAAATCTACAGATCTATGCCAAATTTGGTTCTCTCTTTACTTAATTCAGTTTCTCTCTCTCTCTCTCCCCCTCTCTCTCTCTCTCTCTCTCTCTCTCTCTCTCTCTATCTATCTCTCCCCCATACACAGCTGTCTCCCTCTCTCTCTCTCTATCTATTTTCCCTTTATAAATTATTGTAACTGCCTTATCATTCTTATTCAATGGCAATTTCAGATCGTTTGGCATCCCGTTCAGCCCTTTTTCTTGTGAATTCTAGTTGATTATTCTGCTTTCGCTTTCAATTTAGTAGTGTCTTCGCAAGTTTGACTTCTGTACTCGAACTTTGCATTTAGTTAGCATGCTTAGATCCCCTTTGCACAACTTCTCCTCTTGCTTGCTTTCCTCTGCTTCTTGTTCACCTTATTCTGTGTCCCACTTATCCTCTTTTTCGTTTAATGTTCTGCACAAGGCTTTTAAACTCGTCATGCTTATTGATATAAGTAAGTAGAATTCACACTACGGATGCTTGACGCTGTCAGCACATTCAAAGGCAAAGCAGAGCTGAAACCAACCAAACACCCAACCACCCAACCACCCAACCACCCACTCACCCACTGTTCCACTCCACTCCACTTCTATTCCCCCTAAGTTAAGCTCCATGCCCCACAGGCAGATGAGTACGAAATTTGCACATTAAACGAGAAATTCTCTGATTTTGTTAAGTTCGAGAATGCGTAAAGTAATTTAAGTGAATTTTAGCTTTGACTTCAGATTTGACTTTGTCATTTCTACTTGCTATTATTCTCTTATTTCTTGTGCGTCTTTGATAAAGCAATTCATTTTGTTGCACTGAATGTTGCCTGCCGTTGCACATTTTGGGTGGCGTCAGCTGAAAGTTAAACAACTTTTGATTGACAAAAACATATAATAAAAAATAAAAAATGCCAGCACTGGAAATTGTAACTTTTGGCTTAAGTTGTTTCTCACTCTGTGCAACAAAATGGCGAATTTAACTGATGCTTACCACCTACAAAGAACACGCACACATAAGCAAATTTCAAGGACTTTTGACAGTGCGCAAATACTTGCTAGCACCCAGAGAATCTTTCCGAAATTAAAACCAAATTACACATTAAAGAACATTTCGAATAAAACCCAAATAACACCAACGAATCCACATGTGAAAATCATAAACGTAAAAAAATACACACACACAAAAACATATACACAAACGAGAGAATGGTTTTATAGAGCTCCGATTCCCTGCAATGTTATGAATATGAAAATGATTTTAACGAAGCGACACGTCAAGAAACTTATGTATCCACAAATATACAAGTATATATCTGAATATCTGAACATTTTGAACGCGGCTGAGGCAGATTTTTGGATTTACGTCACAACAGTTTTATGGCTCTTTAAATACTAATTAAAGCCAAATCAAAATCGAAAAAAATAAATTGTATATGAATAAATAGATATTGGCTTCTTTTTATTGTTATTCAAAGGTGGCCGCCAAATCATTATGTAGATAATGAGAATTCGGACGATTCGGAGGCACCTACCTCATGCGGCACAGCAGCGCAGCATCAACAAGCAGTCACCAGTTAACAAAAAAAAAAAAACAATATATTCCAGATTTGAGGAAAAAAAACAGTAATACTTTTCACGACAATTAGAAACAAACGAGTTTGAGATTTTGAAAAACAAATAAAATGAAGCGGTCACGACGCGAAGCGGAGTAGAGCAAAGAGGCAAAGAATCTGCGTTGAAGCACCAATAAAAAAAGTACAAAAAAAAGGATTTCTTTATCTTTTTTGTTATTTTTTCCTTGTTTTTTTTTTTTAGATAGTTGCTTTTGAACCGTTAGGCGCTATGCAAATGAGCTTTCTTCCTCTTCCCCATGCGTTGCAAGCTCTGTTGCACGACGACGATGACGAGCACAACGACGACGGAGATAACAGCGACAACGACGGAGATAGACGCTGGCGTTGGCTGCTGCCGCTACTAACGCAAACACAACGTCGACCGACGAGGAGCACGGCTCACAAATGGGCTCCACGAGGGCAACTGCTGCGTGGTGCGTGCGGCTATTGCTACTGCTACTGCTACTACTGGTGCTGCGTGCTGCTGCTGCTGCGTACTGCTGCTGCTGCTGCTGTTGCTGCTGCTGCTTGTGCTGCTGCTGCGAAACGTTGCGTTCGTCGCGTTCGCGGCTCTTGACATCGCGGCGTATACCCAACGACTGTTTGGCCATTGACGCAGCGGCCGTGCTGGAGACCTGCTGAGCGATGCGGCCACGCTGCAGGTTCGTTCGGCACGACGCACGACGCCGGACGCTGAGCGAGCGAAACCGAAACGTTAAATTGCCATCCGATTCGGCATCGGAATCCGAATGCAGTCGCTGTCGCTGTCGCAGTCGACGTCGCAACATTGGCTGATGATGCTTTCACCTTGAGCTTTTTTGCTAAATGCGATACTTTTTTTGTATATTCATCATCAGCCGCAACAACAGAAGTAGCACCAGCAGCAGTAGTACCAGCAGCAGCAGCAGCAACATTCGATATCGAAAATAAAAGCTTATCCGCCGCAGCGCCTGGCGACAACATCCGAATTTGAAGGTCAGCAGGCAGAATTTGAGCTTTTTCTTTATTTTGCGGTAGCCAGCAAGCGCAACAATCCGTTGCATGTAGACACAAAGTAAGTGTGTGTGTGTGTCTCAAAATGCCGGCAAAAGCTTTGTTTCGCCTATTTCCTGCTTCATTTCGTTCTTTTTGCGTTGCGTCGGTAATTAAATGGGTTAACGCGGCAAACGAAACCGACTGTAGCACATTTTCGAAATTCCAATTCCATTCCCAACAGGAAACGGAAAGCTTCCAGCAAAAGCTTGCCAAAGCTTCAGTTCAATCTGAGATTAACACTCTACTTGCCCAAAATAATGGGCGTTGGGGCAATGCAACTTTGGACATTAATTACAAATGTAATCAAAGCATTTTATTATATTTACAAATTATTATCCAAAGCAAATTTGAAGCTAACTAAAATTAAAAAGCAATAATAGCTGGAGCCTTTAGTTCGTTGGGAAACTTTTGATTTATTTGTTAGAAAGTAAGTCAATTATTTCGATAAAGTTGCGCAAAAGTTAGTAGAAATAATTGTGAACATTTTTCTACATTTTTGGTAGCTTGGTCGATGTGACCCAACTGATAATATTTACATTCGAAAACGAAGCCAGTATCATAATTGTTAATTTCAAAATAAGTAATGAGATACACGGGGAAGAATAAATTTATTTGCCGAAATTTTTACAGTTTGAATTCTTAAACGATCTATGGGATAACAAGTAATATTCTGATTTTATTAAGCTGACGCTGATTAGGGAGTTAAATGTTTTTGAGGGGTTCGAAAACTCTCCCTTTTGATTTTCATATTATTATTATTTTTTTTACAAGTGCCGAAATATTTAAGTCATTTTTCTCCAGCTCCATGAATCCTAAGCACGAAGTTCTTTGATTGATTTGGCAACACGCACAAATTTTCCAAAACTTTGTGGCTGTGGAAAACATTCTACGAAGATAAGGGATGAAATGAAATGACCCTCAAATCGCTTCCGGGATTTTTTATGCACACGTCAAGCAAGAAAATTCGTCATTCCTGTCTGCATCATCTGGAGCCTTTTTCTAAATCATTTTGATGCACTCAGTAATAATAAGATATTTTCGGCTCATCACCATCAAATGTTGACGGTCAGTGTATAAAATATACAACCGGTCTTACAAATAAAACCAATGAGTGCTAAAATGGTCTTTAATATTATTTATTCAAATTGACAAATAGCAAATAGCCAAATAGTCAAATGCATCTTCCACAAATCATCTGGCATTCACATATTGTAATTAATTGTCCTTGGCTCTTCTGGCACAAAGTTGCCTTCAGCTGCACATTCATTCTGAATATCGTTATATCCGCCTTCTCGTCAATTTCCTTGTCTGCAGTGCTTTTCGACTTTTATCTACATGTCCAAATTGACAATCAGATGACATCTTGCAAGCAGCAACATCCAATTTAATAAAGGCATTTTCTTATCTGCGTATCTCAACATCATATTTTCCAATAATTCAATGTAAATATGTCGGTTCTTACACAACCAGAATTGTTAGCTTTGGCAAAAGCAAAAGCAGCTGAAGCTTTTTGGCTGCTATGACACCAGGATAAGCTTCCCTGACCAAAAAAGAAGAAAAAACAACAATAAAAATAAAACACGCAACAAAATCAACAGTTGCCAGGCAAAGTAAATCAAAATAATATTTGTGTATATACACTTGGTTGGCACCTACACCGAGCCCGAATTTAAATATCGAACAGCCGCAGGATGCTCGTTAGCCATAGCTCCCTGGAGCAACCCAGTCCGAGGGCAATGGAGAAGGGCAACAATGGCGAAAATCCGGAGTCGGGCAGCGTGTCAAATACAGCCGGACAGCAGTTACGCAAGATCCGCCAAGGGTCGAGGGGACCGCGAAGCACCAAATTTGGCATTGAGCGCAATCTGAATATGAAAACGGGTGCCTCGCTCATACCCGATCTGAATCTGGTCATCAATCGCATGCGCAGCAAAAAGGACGACAGCTATGTGTATCTGGACTATATGCTGCCCAAGGATAGCGAATACTTTACGCCCTACAGCCTGCGCGAGGTGAACTTTGAGAATCTGAACACGATTAAGCCATACTATACAATAACACGGCACGGCGTCACCTATTGGCGAGTTTCCGAGCACTTCTTCACACCGCTCAATCAGTGGCAGCAGGAGTTTCAGCAGTTCCTCAGCATTATACAGATACGCAGCTTTGCCATCTTTCGCCTGTGGAAGGGCTTCAAGGTGTGGGAGAAGACGATCAAGTGGCGCAAACTGAGCATTGCCCGCAACTTTCTGCAGAACAATCTGTTAATCGCCATACCCCAATTAGCCAAGGCCATTCTGCGTATGCGCTCCGATGTTGTTGTACTGGAGCGCCTCAGTTTTGCCAACATTGAGAATATCGAGGAATGGCATCCGTTCTACTTTCTGGAGCTTCACATGCGCATCTACGAGCAGCTCAATCATCTCTTTCAGGACTTTCGCGCCTTCGTCGGCAAAACGCTATGTAAGTCGGTTCTTTTACATACATATATTATGCATATCATTTGTTGCATTTTATCCACACACACACATACACGTCACAGATCGCGCATGCACGGATGCTATCATGGCGCGTGGCTTCTATCCGGACGATGAGATCAATTATTATCCCTCGATCAAAAAAATGCGAGAGGCACACAGCTTCATGGATCGGGCTCGTAAGCGTTCTTTCTGCAAGACCCTAACCAAGTAAGTTAAAATTTCATTATAAAAATAAAAAACAAGTGAGAGAGGTGCAGTCGGTCGTAAGTAATCTGATACCAATTGCCACAGAACAGCCAAGAAATACCGAGAATAATAGGGATACCATCAATATCAGATGAGAAAAATATATATAACTTAACAATTTTAAGATATGAAATTGGCAATAAGTACATGTAGCAATATAGGTTACACAAGTTAGGATAGTTATCTGGGTTATCCAGTCGATCAGTGCATAAGGTATATAGCATTTCATTCCTTCGTTCATTGACAGCTTTCTCACTTATTGCGACCTGATGTTGTATCAGACGCTCTATCGCGTAACCATTCAGAGTTACGAGGATCTGCATCATGCATTCAATGAGCACCACCTGGTGGGGCCAACCGCAGCCGAAATCATGCGACACGAGCGTTTGGATACGAAAATTGAGAAGACGCGTCCGCCAAGCGCACCGCAGACTCCATTTTTCCTCGCCCAGCTGCGTCTGCTGCCCGACCGCATCGAGGTGGAGCCACAGGAGGATATACTTAAGCTGATATTTCAACGTATAACGGGATTGATATTGAAAACGGTGCTGAGTATACCACCCTTTACCAATGATGCGGAATTCAAGCAGTATACGGCGTAGGTTTTCGAACCACAAATCTGAAATCGAGTCTAATCGTGTAATTTTTGTAATTTTTGTAGGCCGTCGATAATGGGACGACAGGAGGAGTGTCTGTATGAAAGTGCGCCAGAGCTGACCTCATTATTGAAACAAGATGAGAAATTCAACTTCCATCGGTGAGTGAAGTGGTTATGGCATCATTTCCAGAATCGAAAATCTCTTATTATCCTGACAGGCGAAATATATTCATACTGATGCACACGGCCTACGAGATGGCACGTCTTTATACCGCACGCTTTCAATCCATACGAAAGAACTATGAGATTGATGCCGCCACAAATCCAGAAGAAATCAGTAGCGAGCGGGGTACGCAATTTAACTAGAACAGCTCTCTCTCTCATTCACTGTCTATCTCTCTATCTCTCTCTCTCTCTCTCTCTCTCTCTCTCTCTCTCTCTCTCTCTCTCTCTCTCTCTCTCTCTCTCTCTCTCTCTCTCTCTCTGTCGAAATTGGTGCAGATCTCACAGCGTTGCGCAACTATTGCGATCGGTATTGCAACAATTTGAGAGCATTGGATGGTATTCTAGATCACGTCTTTTTGGGTCTATTGAAATTGGGCCAGAGTGGTTTTAAGGATGCGGTTACGCCCGTCTGCCAACGACTACAAAACGTCCTGGCCATCTATTTGCCCAAACTGGCCGAGGAAGAGACAACAAAACTGTACGAGGATACCCAGGATTTCTATGGCCGTATCGGCTATGAGCCGCAGGCGACACTTCAAATAGTCGATCACATTCGCTTCCTGGACCACTGTCACGAAGAGCTGAATGAGCTATTTTTAGTTATCGATTATATACACGACCTGTTGCTGATCATCAAAGACTTTGAAATACCCATTGATGATCAACGCAAAGAGGACTACATGGACACGGAGGATTATATGAATCGGACCAAGGATACGCTGGCCGAGATACTGGAGAAACGGCAGGACTTCATCAATCAGCTGGAGGAGGTTATGCAAGACGACATCAACGCCCTCAAGGAAGACATACATGAAGTGGCCATCGAGGTCGTCGAAGAATGGCTGCTCATGGTAGGTAGCTCAACGGGTTATTCTGATAGTCGAGTCAGCAATGTTGATGTGAAAAGTTTGAAACCGTTCTTAAATCCGAATTTTTCTTTGAAATTCGACATCATGCTGTTCTCTTCTCACACATGCAGTCAATCGGCCGCAATTGATTTCAGACTTTACATACATCACAAATATACTTATAAATATTAAGTACAAAAGGGGATCTGCTACACTCTCACTTATTTTCCTTTCATGTTGCTGGCGCACAGAGCACGTCGAATCGCACAACGGTAAACGATAAACTGGACGATCTCCTAGCCCGGATGACAGCTTGTCGTGAGAGGGCAGACGAGCTGCTTGGCTATCAGAAGGAATTCCGCATTGATATGACCATGTATGAAGAGATGGACACCGGCTTCTATGATATACGAATGCGACAAAATTTGTACAAGACGCTCATCGACTGGGAGGAGTCGTTATCTAGTTGGTTGTCGTCCGATTTTAATAGCCTCGTCGTCGCGGCATTAATTGAACTAAATTCAAAGACTATCAAGAACTGTATGCAGTTCCAAAAGTATCTGCCACCCAACGATATTGTGCCAGTGTTACAAAAGTCCGCCGAGGATTTCAAGGAGAAACTGCCAGTTATTGGCTACCTCCGCAATCCCAATTTGCGTGCGGTAAGTGATTTCAAGTACAGTACACTGCAATTAAAATATTTCTACTCTTACCGTTTTACCATTTTGCACAGCGCCATTGGACGGAAATCGAGGATCTGCTGTTGCGGAAATTCTTCCAGGAGCCCAACATCAGGATTGCCACCTATGAGGAGGTGCACGCATTCGATGATCCGCACAATGCTGAGGCCCTCATGCAAATCTCGTCACAGGCAACGGGTGAAACGCAGCTGGAGAACATGCTTAAGAATATCGAGAATGTATGGAAGGAGACGGAGCTTTTCATTGTACCGCATCATGATCAAAAGGATGTCTTCATCCTCGCAGGCACCGATGAGCTGCAAACGGTCCTAGATGATGCCAATGTGAACATAAATACAATAGCTGCATCCAAATTTGTGGGTCCCATCAAGGGACGCGTGGATGAGTGGATAGGACTATTAGATCAATTTGGTCGAACCTTTGGTAAGTCCACTGTGAGCTCGTTGTGCACGATGAGCGACGACTAAGTCAAATCTGTGTGCGTAATCTAATATATGCACAAATGTACAGAGGCTTGGTTGGACTGCCAGGGCTCTTGGGTCTACTTGGAGGCAATCTTTGCCTCGGCCGACATACAGCGCCAGCTGCCCAATGAGGCCAAGATGTTCAACCAGGTGGACAAGAACTTCAAAGACATTGTGCGCCAGGCCAAAAAGGTGGCTCTGGCCCTGCCCACCATGTCCAGCGTAGAAATATACGATATGCTCATGGAGGACAATCGCCTACTAGACGCTATTTCCCGCGGCCTCGAAGCCTATCTAGAAGTGAAGCGCGTCGTCTTTCCCAGGTGCGTAATGAGCTCATAAGAGTAATGCACCCACTTGCTGAGTCCTAGTTTATTATTATCCCAATAATATTATAATTGTGTTCTCAAGTTTGGAAAAAACTTAGATGCCAGTTTCACAGGAATCATTCGCATTTAGTCACACTACTTGAACACAGTTTATTGAAGTGTTAATTTCATGGTTCTACAGATTCTACTTTCTGTCCAACGACGAGCTGCTCGAGATTCTCGCCCAGACGCGCATACCTCAAGCAGTGCAGCCGCATTTGCGCAAATGTTTCGATGCCATTTATCGCCTGGAGTTTGGGCAGAAGGATGGCGGCGATGGTAAGATGATACCGACGAATGATATCGTTGCATTCTTATCGCCCGAGGGTGAGAAGCTGCAGTTTGGCAAGGGCCTGAAGGCGCGCGGGGCCGTCGAAGAGTGGCTCAGCAAGGTGGAGGAATCGATGTTTGTCACCGTCAAACGATGCATGCGCTTCGGGTATCAGTGCTATGCGGCCAAGGAGCGTGACGAATGGTTCCAGGATCATCCCAATCAGGTGGTGCTCACAGTATCCCAGGTGCAATGGGCGACCGACATTCATCGCATATTCGAAGGAAAGGACAGGACTCCCACTAGCATCATTGAAAAAATGTCAAAATTTGAGCTGAAATGCCTCCAGGATCTAGGTGCACTGGCGACACTCACGCGCAAAAGCATTACATCGCTGTTACGAAAGATCCTCTGTGCGCTAATCACCATCGATGTGCACGCCAAGGACTCGGTCCGTATGCTCATCGAAAAGGGTGTCTACCAAACGTAAGGAAACAACAACAACAACAAAAAAATATTCCTTTTTAGATCGAATATTTTTGCTCAAGGAGTTTCTCTACAGGAACGACTTCAACTGGCTGAAGATGCTGCGTTTTTATTGGGCCATCGAAACGGAGACGGTCTTCTCGCGCATGGCCGCTGCTAATATACCGTATTATTATGAGTATCTGGGCGCTGGCGGTGTCCTGGTTCTTACCCCGCTCACAGATCGCTGTTATCTGTGTCTTATGGGCGCCTTTCAGATGGACTTGGGTGGCGCACCCGCCGGTCCCGCTGGTACGGGCAAAACGGAGACCACCAAAGATTTGGCCAAAGCCCTGGCCAAACAGTGCGTGGTCTTCAACTGCTCCGATGGCCTCGACTACAAGATGATGGGACGCTTCTTCTCTGGCCTGGCGCAGTGCGGCGCGTGGTGCTGCTTTGACGAGTTCAATCGTATCGACATTGAGGTGCTGTCTGTAATCGCCCAGCAGTTGATCACCATACGGACCGCCAAGGCCATGAAAGTCAAGCGGTGAGTAAGACACCCACCTCCGTGCCCCTTGTAGATATTCGGCAACCATTTTCTATTCCTTTTTGCTTATCCTGCTCAGCTTCATGTTTGAGGGTCGCGAAATCAAAATAAATCATTCGTGCTGTGTGTATATTACCATGAATCCGGGCTATGCCGGCCGCACAGAACTGCCCGACAATTTGAAGGCACTGTTCCGACCCATCTCGATGATGGTGCCCGACTATGCGCTCATCTCCGAGGTCATCCTTTACTCGGAGGGCTTTGAGGATCCCAAGATTCTGGCGCGCAAAATGGTGCAAATGTACCAGCTCTGCAGCCAGCAGCTCAGCCAACAGAATCATTATGATTTTGGAATGCGAGCCGTCAAATCTGTCCTGGTCATGGCCGGCGCCCTCAAGCGAGCCGCGCCCAATCAGCGGGAGGATATCACATTGATTGCGGCGCTACGTGACTCGAATATACCCAAGTTTTTGGCTGACGATTCGACACTGTTCCGTGGCATACTCAGCGATCTGTTCCCAGGTGTCGAGCTGCCCGATTCACAGCATCCCCAACTGGAGGAGAGTCTCCGCATCGGTCTGCGGCTAAAGAACCTTCAGCCAGTAGCCACCACAATACGCAAGTGCCTTCAGCTCTACGAGACAATGTGCGTCCGCTGGGGCGTCATGACGGTGGGGCCGACAGGTGGCGGAAAATCGGTGGTGCTGCATGCCCTAGAATTTGCCCTCTCCCATCTATTCGAGAACGAGGTAATGGATCCCAACTTTCGTCCCGTTGTCATACAAACGATGAATCCCAAAGCGGTTAGCATGAACGAGCTGTACGGCTATGTGGACCCCAAGACCCTGGAGTGGCAGGATGGCCTGCTGGGTCTGGCAGTGCGCGCAGCCACAAATGTAGAGGGTAAGTTGCTGGCATACCCCAATTGAAGCTTTTAATATTATAAGGTTAGTATATGATAGGATCACCTCTAGCCCATATAAACATAGAGATTATATTTTCCATTTAGCTTTCTCGCCACCTCAAAACTTAAAGTTTACTTAATTAATCCAAAATGAATAATAATTTAGTCGAAAAGAGATTAGTTCCACAAAAAAACAAGAGTGCTCTAGTCAAAAGGTACCCGACTAGGCGATACCAATTTTCATATTATCAGCAACAGCATAATCATCCTCCTACACCAATCTGATTCACTTTACACGTTTTTCACACAAAAAAATAATAAAAAATTAAATCGAAAAAATCATTATACAATAAATTAAAGAAACACATTTTTCACTTCACACTTCTTTTGGCACACAAAAAAAAATATAAGAAAACACATTCCATTTCACACTTATTTAAAAGACTTTGAAAACAATTACCCAATCGAATCGAATGGTATTTTAATTGGTTGCACACTTTGAGTATTTAAAAATATAAAAATTTGTAAAATATTGGATTTGCGTTCCATTGATCTGTAACTGTGTACTTCGATTTTGCTTTAAAAAAATAACGTTATTTATTTTATTTAATGAACAAATTAAAAAGCAGCTTAAGCGCTTTAAATATCGACGCGATATTTAATCAAATACTGCACCGATATAATAAAAAAATAAATTGCACCGATATAAATAATTAAATTTAAACAATTAAATAAATAAATTGCACGGATCTAGGAAGACGCCTACGCCGAATTGCAGAGTTTAGCTTCTGCAATCTTTCCCTTTCTCTCTCTCTCTCTCTCTCTCTCTCTCTCCAATCTCTTCTTTTTAATGGTACGCGTTTTTATTTACTTGCTTCCAATTACAAAATAATATAGCATATTAAATTCTTTGTAATCATCACAGAAAAACACTGAATCGATAAAGAAATATTTGTGCTCTTTGAAAAAAAACAAAGCTTTTGCACAGACAAATAAGTATTTATAATACTAGGCTATCTTGGCAAGGATATTTACTGTTTGGCACCTGAAATATAAATTTTGTATTGTATTTACAGATGAGATCCATCAGTGGATCATGTGCGATGGCCCCGTTGACGCTGTGTGGATCGAGAACTTGAACACTGTGCTGGACGACAATAAGATGCTGTGTCTGGCCAACTCGGAGCGCATCAAGCTGACCGCCTGGATACATATGCTGTTCGAGGTGCAGGATCTGCTGCAGGCATCGCCAGCAACAGTTTCCCGCTGCGGCATGGTATACGTCGATCCCGGAGATCTGGGCTGGTTACCACTCGTCGACACGTGGCGCGAGATAGACATGAGCAAGAAGCTGAGCTCGTCCCTGGCTGAGTTCCTCTACCAGCTCTTCATCGGCTACTTTGATAAGGCGCTGAAGATTGAACGCAAACGCGCCTCCTTCACCATACATCAGGTGCTCGGCTCCAAGGTGCGTTTGTGCTGCGCACTGATCTCGTCCCAGCTAGAGGGCGTACCCTGGAACACGCTGGACGAGGAGCCGGCCAAGAATCTAATAACTAAAATCTTTACGTGGTGTGTCCTCTGGGCGATTGCATCCAATTTAAAGGATGCCGAAAAGATGTCATTTGAGGACTTGTGGGGCAGGACAATGGCCGTGCATCCCAATATGGAGTAAATATAAAATATTACTTGGTGGGTTGACCACAAAAGTAAAATCCATCCCGTTCAGCTTGCCGAATCGCACCCTGTGGAACTATCGCGTCGACCTTGAGACCAAAGATTGGGGCAGCTGGAATGATATAATGTCCAAGTTTGTCTTCAACTCTGATATATCCTACTACGATATGCAAGTGCCCACTGTGGATACCACCAAATACGGGTAAGCAATTGAAGTTATCTGTGTTAACTGTGAATCTGAAGCTAGATAAATGAATATATCGATTCAGCTACTACTACCCTATTTAGGCTATGTTCTTGATCACTTTGTATCGCCACCTCTAACTCAGAATCCGTTGTCCATAGATATGTTGCAGATCTGCTATTCAAACGCGACTTTCCGGTCATGTTCACGGGAGAGACAGGCGTGGGCAAAACTGTGCTGGCCATCAGCTGCATGAAGCGTTTGTCCGAGGGCAATGTGATCCCCGTGGTGCTCAACTTTTCGGCCCAAACGAGCAGCTTGCGCACGCAGGAGATGATCGAGGGACCGCTGGAGAAGCGCAAGAAGACACAATTGGGCGCACCGGTGGGCAAGACCGTTATCATATTCATCGATGACGTCAACATGCCCAAACTGGACACCTATGGCAGCCAGCCAGCGATCGAGCTGCTCAGGTTTGAATCGAAGATTTGGCAATGTTTTCTTTTTATTTGACTTGGCTTCACATTCGAAACACACATGCAGGCAGTACCTGGACTTTAAGGGCTTCTACGACCGCGAGAAGATGTTCTGGAAGGATATACTAGATGTGGTGCTGGGCTGTGCCTGTGCACCGCCAGGCGGTGGTCGCAATTTGCTAACGCCACGTTTTGTGCGTCACTTTGCGCTCTTCTCGCTGCCCAAACCCAATGAGGAGACGCTCACACAGATCTTTAATGGCATCCTTTTGGGCTTTCTGAGTACGTTCTCCTCGGCGATCCGAGCTCTATCGGAGCCGATGGTGCACGCCTGCGTGGATGTCTATATGCGTGTGGCAAATGTGATGCTGCCCACACCGGATCGCTCCCATTACATATTCAATTTGCGCGATCTGTCCAAGTGCATACAGGGCATCCTGCAGGCGAACAACATGTACTACCATGCGGAGAGTCAAATCTTGCGATTATTTTATCATGAGACGACGCGCGTCTTTCATGATCGTCTGATCAATCTGGAGGACAAGACGATCTTTCGTGGGCTGATGGATGATGTGTGCAAACATCATTTCAATCGCGAAGTCGTCTCGCTCACAGAGCCGGCCATACTCTTTGGCGATTTCATGGTGTTTGGCAAACCGAAGAACGAGCGTGTCTACGATGAGATCAAGGATCATGGCAAGCTCGAAAGCGTGCTCAACGATTATATAATTGACTACAACTCGATGGGCGGCGCCAAGTTCATGAAATTGATACTCTTCCAGGATGCCATGGAGCATACGGTGCGACTGGCCCGCCTTCTGCGCAGCGATCGTGGCAATGGTCTTCTAGTGGGCGTGGCCGGCATGGGCAAACAATCGTTGACGCGCCTGGCCTCCCATGTCAACGAATACAATTGCTGGCAGATTGAGATGAGACGCAACTATGACTTAAACGCATTCCACGAAGATCTGCGTGTCCTCTACCGCATCGGCGGGGTAATATGCTTTGAGCCCTGACAATTTGGCGATGTGTTTCATAAAATCTATAATCCTTATCCACACACAGGTTGATAACCAGCCCGTTACATTTCTTCTGATCGACAGCCAGATCGTGGAGGAGGAATTCCTTGAGGATATTAACAATATACTAAACTCGGGTGAGGTCCCCAATCTATTTGAGGGCGATGACTACGAGAAGGTCATACTGGACTGTCGAGATGCGTGCACTGCTTCCAAAAAGGATGAGGTGAGTGCCCTTTGATATCGTTAACCTACTCCTTCTTATATTTGTATGTTGCCGAGTCTCCGATTCCATAAAATTTATGCATATATTTTTCATCAGTATTATTTGTCGAGTGAGAACAATTAATTCATTTTATCAGATATATGCATACATGCATATCGATCAGCTTAACTATTTTTTGGTATTTTGAATTCGCCACGGCAATGATTAATATGACTATTTCTGCTTCTTTCACAGAGCTGCCAACGCGATGAGATCTACAAGTTCTTCATCAATCGTGTGAGGAACAATCTGCACGTGGTCATATCGATGAGTCCGGTGGGCGATGCCTTTCGACGACGTTGTCGCATGTTTCCATCGCTGGTTAATTGCACCACGATTGATTGGTTTACCAGTTGGCCAACTGAAGCGCTATATTCGGTGGCTCTGGGACTGCTCACAAAGATCGCACCCAACATGGATCAACGTGTAGCGCTGGCCAGCACCACGGTCTTTATGCACAAGGTGCGTTTCAGCAGTTTGCCTACTTTCCTTTCATAATTTATTCCGTTACGGTTTAATCTCGTCCTGCAGACTGTGGAGGATGCCTCTATGCGTTTCTACAAGGAGATGAAGCGACATTATTACACAACGCCCAGCAGCTACCTGGAGCTGTTGAAGCTCTACCAGAGCCTGCTCAAGCTCAAAACGCAGGAAATCATTGCCAAGCGAAAGCGCATTGCCAGCGGCCTCAACAAACTCCTTGAGACCAACGAAGTGGTATGTGAAAGACAGAGTAGCCATCGAGGCACATTCACCACTTGTAATTGAACATTCAAATATTTGAAACTCAGATAGCAGTCATGCAAAAAGAACTGGAGGTAATGGTGCCGCAGCTGGATGAGAAATCGGCCATGATGAAGTCTCTCGTGGATAATTTGACCAAGGAAACCAAACAGGCGGACGCCGTCAAGCAGGGCGTCATGGAGGATGAAGCCAATGCGAAGGAGAAAGCAGCCATTGCCCAGGCCATATCTGAGGATGCCAGCAAGGACTTGGAGACAGCAATGCCAGCACTGCGCGACTCCGAGGAGGCACTCAAGGGCTTGACCAAAGCCGACATCAATGAGCTGAAATCATTTACCACACCGCCAGCCCTGGTGCAGTTCTGCATGGAAGCCGTTTGCATTCTACTGGGTGCCAAGTGAGTATTGAACAGACAATCCAAATATATATGTACATACATATATATTTATCTACAATATAAACACTGATTATACGTTGTCCATCCACAGGCCCACCTGGGCCTCAGCCAAGGCCATTATGGCGGACATTAACTTTATCAAGCGGCTTTTCGAGTACGACAAGGAGCACATGAAGGACGATGTCGTCAAGAAGGTCAGAAAGTACATAGATCACAAGGACTTTGTGCCCGCTGTAAGTTTAAAAATAAACGCTAAAGCTCTAGAAAAAAAAATGACAAAACCCAAATTTCGCAGAAATTCGAGAAGGTGTCGAAAGTGGCGAAATCGGTGAGCATGTGGGTAATCGCCATGGACAGCTTCAACAAGGTGTACAAAGTGGTCGAGCCAAAGATCAAGCGCAAGGAAGCCGCCGAAGCAGAGCTCAAGGATGTGATGCGAGTCTTGCGACAAAAGCAAAAGGAGCTCGCCGCCGTCGAGGCAAAGATCCAATCACTGCGCGACAGCCTCGAGGAGAAGCAACGCGAATTCCAACTCATCCAGGACAATGTGGACTTAACGTATGGACGCATCAATCGTGCCGGTCGCCTGACCTCCGCCCTGGCCGATGAACAGGTGCGCTGGCGCGAGACGGTGAAATCGCTAACGGCCGATCTGGGATGTGTGCCCGGCGATGTGCTGGTTGCAGCCGCCTGCGTCGCCTATCTGGGTGCCTTCTCCAATCAGTATCGTCGCGACATGAGCCAGCTGTGGGTGGAGAAGTGCCGGGAGTATAGCATTGCCTCCAGCAAGGAGTTCAATTTGCTCAAGGTGCTGGGTGATCCATACGAGATGCGACAATGGAATGTCGATGGTCTGCCCAAGGATAACATATCGATTGAGAATGGCATTTATGCGACACGTGCCTTGCGCTGGGCGCTCATGATTGATCCGCAGGAGCAGGCCAATCGCTGGATACGCAACATGGAGCAGGCCAACAATCTGCAGGTCATAAAAATGACAGACTCGCATATGATGCGCATCCTCGAGAACAGTGTGCGCCAGGGTTATCCGGTGCTGCTCGAGGAGCTTGACGAGACCATCGATCCAGCGTTACGTCCCATTCTCCAGCGCGAGACGTACAAGTTCGAGGGACGCACCTATCTCAAGCTCGGCGATATGGTTATTGACTACGATGACAATTTTAAGCTGTACATGACCACCAAGCTGCCCAATCCGCATTATCTGCCCGAGGTGTGCATCAATGTAACGCTGGTCAACTTTCTCGTCACTGAGAGTGGTCTGGAGGATCAGCTGTTGGCGTAAGCATGAAGACGCCACAAATACCTCTACATCTACTTATACTTTTGGTGTTTGTTTTGGCAGCGACATTGTGGCCATTGAGCTGCCGGCAATGGAGGCGCAACGCAATGATCTGGTTGTCAAGATCAATGCGGATAAGCAACAGCTGTTGGCGCTGGAAGATAAGGTACTCAAGCTGCTCTTCAACTCCGAGGGCAATATACTGGACGATGAGGAACTAGTGGAAACACTCAACGATGCAAAGGTGGGCTTACACGCAAACATCCTGCCTGATTGGCTGATCAGCATACTAATCTCCTACTTTCTCTCTCGCTCTCGCTCTCTTTCTCTCTCTCTCTCTCTCTCTCTCTCTCTCTCTCTCTCTTGCTCTGTCTCTCTCTCTCCGTCTGTCTTTGTCAGGAAACATCGTTGATTATTGCCGCACGTCTTATTGATACGGAGGAAACGGAGAAGGTTATTACCGCCTCACGGGAGCGTTATCGCATCCTATCGTCACGTGGCGCCATTCTGTACTTTGTGGTCGCTGGACTCGCTGAGATCGATCCCATGTATCAATACAGTCTCAAGTACTTCACTCAGATCTTTTGCAATGTGCTGCGCAACGATCATCCTGTGATGACCGTTGAGAGGCGCATCTCCACGCTGATGGTGGATGAGCTGAAGGCCGTTTATGATAATATATCGCGTGGCCTGTTTGAGAATCACAAGCTGATCTTTAGCTTTCTGCTGGCACTGTCTGTGGAGCGTCAGGAGGGTCGCGTTACCGAAGACGAATTTGGTTTCCTTACCCGCGGTCCCTTGGGAACCATTCGCTCCAAGAACCAGCCGCCGGGCGTCAAGCTCAGTCAAGCTGAATGGGAGGCGGCCATTTATATGGAAGACACATTCAAGGACAGTTTCGCTGGATTTACCAACGAGCTGCACAAACCATTCTTCCTACAACTGCAGGACAACAAGGAAGTGTTTGACTTTGCTAACACCAACGAGGAGCCCACGGAAAAGTGGAACAAACGACTGCACGTCTTCCACAAGCTCATGTTCATCGGCATATTCCGGAAGCCGCGTTTCCTACTTAACGTAGTCAGCTATCTACATGCTACGGTGGGCAAGTACTTCACAGAGGTATCCGCCTCCGGCACACAGCTGGGCACAGTGTGAGTATTCGATATTGATACAGTATTCTCAGGTCAGGGCACTTTTTCCTAGATATAACTTACTTGTATTTGTTTTGCTTTTGGTCAGCTTTCTGGACACATCGGCCGTGACACCGCTCATCTTTGTGCTGTCCACCGGATCGGATCCGATGTCCGGCTTCCTAAAGTTCACCAATGAAATGAAGTACACGGATAAGTATTATTCGATATCCTTGGGTCAGGGCCAGGGACCGCTCGCTGAGAGTCTGATCGATAAGAGTTTGCGCATGGGGCACTGGGTTTTTCTGCAGAACTGTCACCTGGCCACCTCTTGGATGCGTGTGCTTGAATCTATAGTACGCAATCTGACTTTGGGCATTACCAAGGCGCATTCGGACTTCCGTTTGTTCCTCTCCTCCATGCCGACGCAATCGTTTCCCATCAGTGTGCTGCAGAACTCCGTGAAGATAACAAATGAGCCACCCAAAGGCATAAAGGCGAATGTTCTTGGCGCCCTAGGTGATCTGAGGAGCGAGTTTTTCGAGGAGCACATCCAGAATGGCAACTGGCGTGCGATTGTCTTTGGACTGTGTATGTTCCATGCTGTGCTCCTCGAGCGTCGGAAATTTGGACCACTTGGCTGGAATATCACGTACGAGTTCAGTGAGAGCGACCGCGACTGTGGCCTGAAAACACTGGACTTTTTCATCAATCGCGAGGTGCTTGGCGATATACCGTGGGAGGCCATACTCTATATTAATGGTGACATCACCTGGGGAGGTCGCGTCACTGACTATTGGGATCTGCGCTGCCTGCGAACAATATTAACCATATTCTCATCAGAGCGCATCATACAGCCGGATTATAGGTATTGTCGTGGCGATACCTACTATAAAGATCCGCGGGCCACGACACTGACCGAATATGCCAAATTTGTACAAGGTTTTCCCGTGCTCGAGGATCCCGAGATCTTTGGCATGAATCAAAATGCCAACATTGTGTTCCAAACGAAGGAGACCCAATTCTTTATCAATACATTGCTGCTGGGCCAGCCGCGCTCCTCGGCCGATGAAGGTCAGGCGGTGGAGAATGATCTCTGCCAGCAGATAATCGTCCGAATACAGAAGGCCCTCAGTAATAAGATACAACGTGAGCCTATCCACGACACACTCAGTGTGGTAAGTGAGGATGAGGATCCATTGACTCATCATCTCACAAATCACAAATTTCTAATTAATCGCATTCCAGCTGGACAACAAGGGTCAGATGCCATCGTTGACCACTGTTTTGGTGCAGGAGATCGATCGCTTCAACATTGCGCTGTCCATTATCCATGACAGCCTGAGCAATCTGTCTAAGGCCATCAAGGGTCTGGTTGTCATGTCCGAGGATCTGGAGCTGATCTTCCGTTCGCTGCTAGCTAGCCAGGTGCCAGCGATGTGGGCCAAGCGCAGTTTCCTGTCAACCAAACCGCTGTCCAACTACATTGTTGACTTTCAGCGCCGCATCGATTTCATTCAGCAGTGGGCAGAGAATGGCGCACCGCGCTCCTACTGGATAAGTGGCTTCTTCTTTCCCCAATCCTTCCTCACCGGCATACTGCAGACATATGCGCGACGTCGTGTCCTGCCCATCGATTCGCTCAAGATCGATTTCCAGGTCATCGAACTGGAGCTGGTGCAGCAGGATTTCTTTGAGCTGCACAATGCTCACGCTAATGTACGTTGCCAGCAACTGAGTAACTCACTTTGTACACCTGCAGAGTGTACAATACGTATTCATATTCATTTCCACAAGTTTTATTTAAACACTTCGACTACACTTGAAACTTTATGTTAGTAGTATTATTTTGCGATCAGTTGAACATTAAGTTATTGAGTGAAAAACATTTTTCTTTTAAAGGTTATACTAATATAGTTATATTGTATGGTTTCGTCTATGAGAACCTATATGGTTTTCAAGTTGTCTCCAATTGAAACTTGGTATAGACACTTATATATCTAAATATAATGTATAAGTATAGTGTATATATTATATAGGTATAGTAGAATCAGTCTGAATAATCTGGCAAACATTTAGCTGTATATGTGTTTGTTTTTCGGCAAGTTCAATTACTCTTGAGACTTCAGTATTATTATTGTGTGTTCAGTCGAACATTTTGTTATTGAGTGAAAAACATTTTTCTTTTAAAGATTATGTTTACAACATTTGCGGTCTTTACATAAATGGTATTTAATATTGTTATATTGCATTGATTTCACAAGTTTTCAATCTAACCAGTCTCTTATTGAAATTTGACATAGATTCATTTGTTACTATATATTATTTAGGTATAGAATAATCAGGCAAACATTTTGTTGTATCCGCAAATATTTTTCGACAAGTTTTATTTAGACACGCAAATTACACTTTAGACTTAATATTACATTATTGTGTGATCTTTTGAACATTAAGAATTATTGAATGGAAACATGTTGACTATTATTGAGACATTTTCCATCTCTACAGAAATGCGATTTACTATAGTTATATAACAGCTATTGATCGGTACTTATTTTATATTATCAAATTTGAATTCATGTCTACTGTCTGCAACGGGAGGGAATATTAATTCATCGGTTTCCCGAGCCATTTGACATTTGGTTATCTCGTTACAGGATGCACGCCTCTATGGTAATCTGCCGGAGTGCACCGATGCTTTGATCAATGTCCATGGCATCTTTGTGGAGGCCGCTCGCTGGGATCTGAGCCAAGGTGGCTTGTGCGATGCCCGCTTTGGTGAGCTATATACACGCATGCCCGTCATACGCTTCATGCCCTGCCTGGAGGTGAGCGATACGTTGCGCTACGAGGCGCCCCTCTACAAGACACAGCAGCGTTCCGGCGTGCTCTCCACCACAGGCCACTCGACCAACTTTGTACTATCCATATTGTTACGCAGCAAGAGCGATCCAGAGTTTTGGATTATGCGCGGCACCGCACTCGTCTGTGCCGTCATGGAGAACGTCTCCTAGGAATGGAAAAGTTATATATACACCCACACACACACACACACACACAGACACAGATACACACACACACACACATATGTATATATATGTTATTATATATGCTGCATGTAACAAGGTGTCTTTATTTCGTACAATTCGTTTCAAATGTGTTCTCTTCGCGGGCTCTCTTTGAGGCATGACCCATCAAATACAATCAATATATGTTTGTGTATAATGTTATTTATGTATATAGGCGTTAAGTACTTATCCTAGAGTTTAAGAGTTGTGTACTACGTATATGCAGTATATATGTGTGCATTTATTTTGTAGCTCACGAAGCACGTCTGTGTGCAATTTACAAATGTTCTAAGTTCAGTTCAGATCAATATAGTTAAGTAAGGTAAGGCATGTATGTACAACATTTAAATATTTTACGAATTCGTTACAAAAACACAATAAACGGCAAAAGGCAAAAATATATTACAAAATGTTTGATTTTTAAATTACGAAAAGAGCGTTTACTTCAATTTTATACTTGGTACTTAACGTTAAACGTCTGAAGTCTGATTTTAAATGTAATATAAAAAAATATATATATATATATTTATATATATATATATACATATATATTATATATTAACAGCATGTTCTCCAAGCGAGCTTTACGAACTTATAGCGAAATCGGGCTTGGACACATGCTGGCATAAAGAAACATAAAGCACAACTCTACAAACTACTAAGTACAGTTAGTTGCAAACACAAATTGATGCTAGGACAACAAATAATTGTCTAAAGCTTAATTAAGGTTTTGTTTTTCATCATTTTTGTTTTGTTTTGTATGCGCATATATATATATATTTATAAAGGAATGTGTTCTTGCTATAGGTTCAGTGCCAATGTTTCGATTGTGTTTAAGGTTTATTTTTTTTTTGTTAGTTTTTGTCTCGATTTTCTAAATAATACTGCCCCCCTCAATGGGATTGATGGGAATTTGTAAATTAGATATGTTTTGGGTTCGATTTGTGTTCGCTTTAAGGTTAATTGGTTACAAGGTAATTTTGCTAGATGCGTTAATGGAATGCTAATTTAGTATTTAGCAGAACTTAAAATCTAATTATTGCTGTGTTCTGTGGGACATAAACGTTTAAGACTTTAAGTACTTAAGTGACTAATTGTAAACATTAATTAAAAAAAATCAAGAATAATTATTATAATGATGCCACACAAAAAAAAACAAAAGAAAAAGTTCATTAGGAAGCTCGTAAGGCGTGAGGAATGAGGGGAAGTTGGCCACAAGAGGGTAGCGGTTGGTGTGGGGGGTGGGGATGGGGGAGGGGGTGCCTTGTATTATAGCTTTTTGCTATTCCCATCAATATCAATGCTGAGATCCTGCATCGAGCCGCGTGGATGCAATAGGCTACGCTTCTCCGGATCCTTGACCTTCTTTGGCTTGGGTCGGTTAGTTTTCGTATAGCGATTGATCACCCCGTCCGTCTCATCCATCATGCGTAGGATAAGCGTCTGATCGGACGAGTCCAGCGGTGCTATTGAGATATCTCGCACGGCACGGAATTTACCGCAATTATTCAGATGCTCGTTCTCCAAGCGAAAGAAGTTCCAAACGAAGCGTCTGCCAATTGTAAATAAATATATGTATAATACAATATATATGTGTATAAATATATATATATATATATATATATATGTTGATGCTGGGTTTGCTTTACCGAAATACTTCCAGTATGCCGGTTATGGAGGTCATAATATCGCCGGTCACATATCGCATTTCAGTCAAATAGAACGACAGCGCCCAGATAAAACGCAGCGCCAGATCCTCCAATATGGCAAAGTAGTAAAAGCCCTGTGTAAATCAAAGGAGATGAGAAGATATCATGAAATAAGTGCTTCTTATATACCGTTGATGAGTAGACCACTTCCTCTCGCAGAAACGTATTTTCGCCCGCATTCTTGTCGAAGAGGCCCCAATCCATTTTGATGTCCCAGGTGTACGAATAGCAGGAGGAGACTATTGAGGAGACGATCCACAGCCAGGTGTACGGATTATCAAAGGTGCTCGTATAGTTGGCTGAAATGAAATAGAAAGAGATAGCAGGGAAAAAATGTGTGTGTGAGAAAGAGAGATATATATAACTCTGCGATGTTTGTGAAATTGCAGTGATTTCGTAGCTCAAAATTAATACTTACGACTGTTGAAGCTCTTGAGTGTGGCAAAGATGACAACCATAAAGGTGGTGGAGTATTTGCCGGCATTGACCAGATGTGGAAAGGCCTCACGCGTGTCACGATATCGCCGTAGACATTGGGCAAAGCGAAACCAGGCGGGCAGGCAATTAACAATGGGTCGCACTATGAAATCCTTTTCCATACAGATGGACGCATCCACAGCCTGTGACCAGTTGCCATTCGTAAAGTAGAAGCAGACGAGATACTCAAAGTCCAGTATGGCGGTGGCCAGCGAATTCAGTTGATCGCCCAACCAGAAATCGGCGAAGCCCACGTGAAAGAACGGCGCCGCCAAACAGCGTCCAGTAATGCGCAACAGCCAGAACCGTGCATCGTGATGCAGCACATGAAATGGATTGACCAGGAACAGCACCATGATTAGAGTCAGCGTTAGCGGATTTATGAAGGCCGGTATGCTTAAGCTGGCGCTGAATAGAAAGCTCAGCATGCTCAGCGTCCAGACGACACCGAAAATGGCTGCTAGTTCCATGAGATGTTGCTCGGACAGGTGATTGCGGGGATCCAGCTCAAAGATGAGCACATGATTAACGCCGGACGAACGCCAGCCGTAGATGTTGACGCCAATCAGAAAGATGAACTCGATGAGCAGCAGCGGTCCGCGATACAGACGAAACGTGACCTTCAGATTTTCGCCGGTTATGTCGTGGAAAATGGCCGACAACACAACAACAATGCCCAGTACAATGAAGCTGCCGGAAAAGAGACCCACTTTGAACGTTGTCCACGGACTCTGTTGCTCGCCCAGCGGCGGCACACGTAATCGCTTCATTGCACGCTGCCGATCACCACCCTCCAGTTCCCCCGTGACCGTTGTCTCCGTCTCATTGATAATGTTGTCAATGTCCTTGTTGATGAAGAAATGCGAAGCCTCCACATACTCCTGACGCCACTTGGCGCCGGTGTCGACGCGCAGCAGCTGCAATCACAAGCCACAAAATGATTTATAAGCAATCAAATGTAATTGAAGTAATTGAATTTAAATGTGTGTATAAATAACAAATAAATATTTTTTTATCCATCTAATTGATAATTAGACAAAAATATATTATTGTTAAGTATTGATAATAGTAAATCAAACAATTTATCTTAATTGCAAGTTGCCTTTCGTAATTACAAACTTCTTGAATTATTTTAATTACTCAAATTAATAATTGATTACGAATGCAATTTTAACGAAATGAACTAAATTTATGTATGTACAAACAACAAAAAATATATAACTATTTAAATAACTAATTAATGATTACAGTTAAGTATACTATTATTGATTATTGATAATAAATCAAATAATTGAATTTAAGGTAATAATAACGCAACGTAACAATAATTGCAAACAATAATTAAATTATGTACATCACAATTTTTGATGAATTATTTCAATTACTCAATTTCAAATCGTGAATCACAAAATTAAACAAAATTACATCTATGCATTTCTTACGCTCACCTTGTCATGCTTTTTAAGTATTTTGCGAAAGCCCGTATGATTCAGATTCTGATAGTTCTGCAACAGTATCAGACTCAAATAGAACTCACTGAATGCCAATTTGAGTTCGCGTGCCTTGCGATCGGGCAACGCTGCATGCCGCTTCTGTCCCTTGGACTTTTTGGCTGTACGTTCAGACTCCTCAATGCTTGACTTTAGTTCCGCATTCAACGTGGCAAATTTGCGTGTGGCCTCCGCCAACTTTTCCGAATAGAATGTGTTGATCTTTTTCAGCTCCTTGTCGCAGTAGTGAAAGAAGTTCTCATCGAAATTGGCAAAGTGACGCTTAAGCACCTCATCCTCTACGCTGTCCACGCTGGGCGCTTCCTCCACCGCCAAATATAGCATGGCCTTCATTTCCTGCATCCAAAAACGGAATAATTAGTTATATACATCAATTGATGAATGCTGATGATTTAAACACACTGCACCCGAAACTAAACCGAAGTGTCTCAACCAGAAATCGACAGTTATTTATACTAAATATGTATTATGTGCATATATAGTATCTATAGACGATGTCACCCGATGCTCAAGCCGGATTTGCAAAGTAATCTCTCATCCACATTGTATAATTGTATAACGAGAAAAATATAAATAGATATATATATATCCAGGCGTGCATCAATTTACAATTTTTACAACGAACTTTTGGATGCTCCAAAAAAGGATCAAGTTTTTCCTTTTGAAAAGGAAGCTTTTTATTTATAAAAATAAATATCAAATTTTTATTAAGTTTTGAAAGTAAGGGCTGTCTTCTTCTTTTTAGTTTTCTGCAAATACTTGGTACATAATCTGCTTTGGATTTATATATGTGGGTGTTAGATATATATGGTGTGTGTGTGACAAGTCTCACCTCATAGTTGATGTACTGTTTGCGCCACTCGGGCGTTATGTGCGCCGACAGATGCTCGGCGAACTTCATGACGATGTTATTGTGGTTGTTGCAATTGTTGTGTCTGTGGCTGTTGCTGTTGCAGTTGCTGTAGTTGTTGTTATCGCTATCGCTGTCGTGTCCCTGGCTTGGTTCTTAACCAAATTTAAGCGAACACTGCAAGCAAAAAAAATTAAAAAAAACAATACTCAATACCAAAAATAAACTTAAATGAGCTGCTTATATTAATATTTCACGCACGACTGATGCTGCTAATTTTGCCAAACCAGCCGACATGCAAAATCAATGCACATTCAGCAACTGTAAACTGCAAAAAGGTTGCTGGAGTGTGTGATACGGAGGAGAGGGGCTTAGGTTGGGGTGATGGGCAATATCTAATCAGTTAAACAGCTACAAAAATATGAGTTTTATAAAAATGTTGTCAGAAAACAGTTGACAGCTGATTCTGAGTATTTACCACCAACTACATACGTGATAAGGCCAAAGACAGTTATTTTTATTACTATTTTTAATTAAACTGCCACTGCCACCATGATGAATATTCAATTGATCGTCTTCAATCTTAGATTCGCATTTGGAACATAATTTTTGTGTGTAAAATATATAAAAAAAAAAAAACTATATAAATATTCTATCGCAAATCTGGCATATGTCTGCAAGGGTATTCCAACTTTGGCATACCAAAAACGTAAGTCACCTTTCATTTATTTGTGCTTTATTTACTTATTTATATTTTTTGGGTGGCTCTCTCGCTTGTTTATTTTCATTAGCGTAAGCCGCTTAATACGCTAAGCAAATTGGAAATTTTTGTATTTTTTTTTTGTCACTGCGTTGTGTACACAAAGACGCTCACATTTTTATCAATTAATTGAGCAAATATTTGCCAAAACACGTCAACAACTGCAATCAGAACTATGACAATAAGGCAAACAGGCACTAAGCCAAGCTGTGGGTCTGGGTCTGGGTCTCCGACTTGGCCAACTTTCGTAGGACAAAATTCATTGACTAAGACAACGACACACACACACACACACACACATACACATACAGAGAGCGCAGGTGTTAATTGATAGTGTGGTATTACGTCAATTGCGTGCATTCATTCATTCAATTAACGTCAACATTTACTTCCAAATATAGACACTTCAGTCTGGCCAACCTGATGGATTGAGCCATTCAACTCATATCGCACATCCATAATTGATGGTCTCTTTGCATACCCTGCAAGACTTATCAAATGTGCCTGTATAGGGTAGACCAGGCAGCATGAGAGATTTGTGACATATTTGTGCACATACATACATATATATTTATATTATATCGGGCCTGTCTGTCTAGAACTGGACACTTCGCATTCGATATGGGTTTGAATTCTTTTCGATAAATAAAATCGATAATCCCGCGAAGTTGAAAAGAGTTAGCTATATTTAAAAGTGCGTTCAGCAGTAGGAAGAATAAAGCAGCATACATATCGACATGGGTAATGCAATAAACAGGGTAATTTCAAGTTGAGCACTCGAGAGAACAGCAGTTTGACAAATTGTCTATGCCTCTTAAAACAAAATCAGAATTGTGTTAAACACTTGTTGACTTTGCTTAACTTATCGCTCAGCTCTTTGGTTTTCTCTACAGTGATTTCTCTGCTGGCTGATAAGGCAGCAGCAGCCGCAGCAGCAGCAGAAGCAGAACCAGAAGCAGCAGCAGTTAAGCATTTATGAGAAATACCAATACCAATACGAACACACACACACACACAGCCAGTCACAAACACATACAAATAAAAGTGCAAATATTTGATCAATAAAGTTGTCAAGCTGAAAGAAGCGCAAAGCGCACCTCGAGACTGAGTCAGAGCTCAAATTATGATGAAATGAAAGCAGCGGGCAGCGGGCAGTGTGTAGCAAGCATCGAGCAGCGCTGCATCTGAATGTCTTCTCAATGCTGATAACTGTGCAGCTGCTGCGCCCGCTGCTGCGCCCGCTGCTGCTTCTACTGTTGTTGTTCTTGTTGTTGTTGATGCTGTACAGCTTTTCAATCAAATGCGTTTGTACCATAATTAATTATTAATTGAAGACATCACGAGATTAAGTTGAACTGCGTTGCTTTTGAATTACATAAAATTGCATTACACATATATTTCAACTTCTATATAAATATATATATATATATATAGATGCAGACCCCGCCACCCCTCGATTCTTTTCTGTTGACATACAAACGATGGCTGCTGCTGCTGCATGCAGCGATGCTCCTGTGTATTATTATTATATTTGTTGCTATATTGTGTGTTGATTTCTGTAGTTATTGCAGTGGTTTGATGGGGTATGCACAAGTTGCGTGAGTTGAGGTCGGCATTTAGGCCAAGACCTAATCATTACTAATTGATAACATCAACTACGGTATGTTAAGTACACTTTATCACAGAATTGCGCGCACGGAACAACAAAGAGCAAGACGCGAACGAAACAATAAACCAGGGCTACGACGCCTCCACGAACGCTTATCGTCGGGGGCAGTGTTGGCTAATGGGCGACTCTAACTGCTGCTCATCTATCGATATTTAATTATTTCATAGCTTTAACTTGTTGCAAAATATGAATTTATTGATTTAAGAATGAATGAATAAATGAGTTGTCTAAATTTTGAACTAACAAATATTTGTAGAATGTTGTAATTATCTAAGGCAAAGGCCATGGCAGCAAGTCAAATTTATAGGATCGCTAGGTACAGCTTGTAATCGTATGCATATAAAGCAAATTCATTTCAAATTTATTTGCATAAGGTCGATCTATTGTGAATGGCGACTCACTTGCATACCGATAATTCGTGCACGCAATCGCAACTATCGATTGCGTCGATGCTTTTCAGTTCTTGGTCTCACAGCCGACGCTCATCCGCAATTTGCTCTCCGAAATTTTGACGCGACGCGAATTAATTGCAACGAATTTTACAAACGAAACGCACATGAAACTGCGCAGTTTCTGTTGCTGAAAATGAGTACAAACCTAAAGAATCTAAAAATGGGCCACTTTGCCAGTGGTGGCGGTAGCGGCGGCGGCTTTGGCATATCAGCTGGCAAATTGATTGCGCCCCATCACAACACGAACGGCTGCATGGGCGGCAATGCCGGCGGCAGTGGCAGTGGAGGAGGTGCCTCCACAACAAATGCTGCTACTACCAGTACCAGCAGCAGCAGCAACAACGCGAGCAGCAGCGCCAGTGGCAGCGGCAACAAATCGGCATCATCCCATGGGTCAACGGATGCGACGGAAGTGTTCGCAATGCCCAGCGGCACAGTTATACCGATAATACGAAGCCGAGATGTGCCTAAGCAGCTGCCGACGCTGGCTGCTGCACTGCAGCGTGGGGCGGACGAGCATTTGGCTGCGGAGGACTTGGATGCCGTGCAGTTGGAACTGGAACTGATGCTCTCGAATGTGGCGCTGCGTGCTCGTGTCTTGAAATCCGAATATGATAGTTTGGACAAGGATGAGAAGCGTCAAGATCGCCGCAAATTGGACCGGGTGCCGCCTGGCTCACCGCCAACGAACGGCCTGCTCAACGGCCTACTCGGCATCAACAATGCTGCGGGCAGCAGCAGCGGCGCAGGTGGTGGCGGAGGTGGTGTCGGCAGTCCGGCAACAGCTGCCAAGCGAAAAATGCGAGAGGAGCCGACAGGCGTTCGCAAGAAACACTCCTCAATGACGATACTCAAGCAACAACAGCAGCAGGGGGGAGGGGGCAGCCTGGCCAAGCAGCTGGCCAAGAACAGTCCGCTCGCCGTGCACACCGATGACAGCAGCATGGACTACGTGTCGCTGCCCAATAGTAACTCACAGCAGCAACAGCAGCTGCCACAGCAGCAACATCAGTTGCCACAGCAGCAGCAGCAACAACAGTTGCCAAAGCTAGCGCTGCCCAAGAACGATATGCCCAATAAATTTTGGCTGTCGGTCGAGCCGTACTGTATGCCATTGACGAACGAGGATCTGCGACTGATCGACGATCTGCTGGAACAATATCGGGGACCACTGGTGCCGCCGGTGCCCAGTTTGGGGCCGCACTACTCGACGGTGTGGGCGCAGGAGGATATGAAGGCGCTGCAGCCGGGAGGAGCGCGCCAGAAGTCACAAAATGTGAGCGCGATGTTGAAGAAGGCCGACAGCATGCTGGAGGAGAGCATAACGGGACCGTTGACACAGCGCCTGGTCTCCGCCCTGATGGACGAATCGCTGCCCAGCGAGGCGGCCGCCGTTGGCGAGCACAGCAGCAACAGCAGCAGCAACAACGAGAATACCCATTCCCAATCACAATCCTCGTCGACGCAGAGCAATGGTGTGGGATCGAAGGCAACTGTTGCTGCTGCTGCTGCCGCATCGGGTAACTTTCGTTCGCTGTCGATGCTGAAGCACGGCGTTGGCATTGAGCAACGCCTGCGGAAGGAGCTGATCGAGAGCGGACTGATCGAGGCCAATGAGCTGGCCAAGCACGAGGATGTTGACGAGGTGCTGCTGGAAATCAAACGGGTCACCGCCGAAATTAGCGCTGTGGCCCAATTTAATAGCGATGAACTGAAGCGTCTGCGCTCGGCGGCCAGCGACGAGATCAAACGCATCGAACTGAAACGCAAACTGGACACCATCGACCAGGAGATACTTGAGTGCTACAAGCGGATGCTGCAGTATCGGGCCAAGCGCAAGGGGCACACGGCCGAGGAGCGGCAGGAGATCATGCGGCTGACCAGCGAGCAGCGTGCTCTCGCCGAGCAACTGGAACGCATGCAGCTGATGGGCGCCGGCAATTGCAAGTTGTAGGACAGGAGCCTGGCCTGGAGCTGGAGCCAATTAATGGCCCTGCATCGGGCGACTCTGCTACTGCAGCAGTGGCAGCGTCACAGCGTTTGGAACGACATCAGTTCCCAACTTCAATGTGTATAAAGATGACAGATGATGACAGGCGACGATGGCGTCGGTGGAAACGGGTCAAAAATCAAATCGAACGTTAACAGAATTCACTGCTTAAACTAGCTTAAACTTTTCTAATAATAGAGCTGAGCGCGTCTCACTTTTCTCTTATTATGTTTTATTTGTTGCACGAGACACAAATTTATTTTTAATAATTACATGCCTTATTTTTATTACTTTTATGTTTGTATAAAGATTAGAAGATTACATTAATTGGCAGATAACAGAATACTGATAAGAAATGTAAAAATTGAAAACGTTATTTTAAATTACTTTTTGGTTTTTACTTTTACCTTTATTACATAAACATTTATTTTTTATCTCATTTTTATTTTTATTTGGCACATAACAGAATACTGTTAATAAATTTCAAAATTGAAAGCGTTATTTGAAATTGCTTCTTTTTTTTTTTTAATATATATACAAATATTTTGTTATTTTTCTCATTTTTATTTTAAATTGGCAGGAAATTGTTATTTGAAACTTCTTTTTGATTTTTTTATCTTTTAAATTTTTATATATTTTTTTATTTGTGTCATTTATCCTTTTAACTACCAGGAAAACGAATATTGATAATAAATTTCAAATTATAAGTCGTTATTCGGAACTACTTATTTTATTTAGTTTTTTAATTTAAAACAGACACTGCTAATGAATCTCAAAATATAATTCAATATTTGAAATTAACTCATTGCTGTTTTTATATATTTGGTTTATATATTTTAATTTCTATGCATATGACACGCGCCCAACTCAAGTTTGTATATTAGCATAACATTAACTAAGTAGACACCAACACAGACACTCACGCACACACACAACACCTTTGACTACATGTATACTCCATATAAACACACACACATATACACATATATATATATATAGAATACATACATACACTTTTTATGTAGCTTAAGTTATTGTGCCAGGTGGGCAATAAAGCTGTCGCTGTCACAAAAAAAAAAAAGTTGCAAAAAAATTTAGCAATTGTTTATTATTGCAATTGTTAAAGGAGCAGACACCAACCGAGCACCACAAGCGTCCAGTGCGCTTTGAAAGTTAACCCAGCGGCTGCAGCTCATTCCAGGCACACAGCGGAAGCGGCAAGCTTTATATTTACCCTTCGATAAGGTTTAGAGGCCAGCGAATCCGGCGCCTCTGCTTTTTGTTTTCTATCGCCTAATTAAAATTAAACAACTCAACTCCATAAATTTAACATCCACACACGCACACACTCAGACACACACACACACACACCGACTTTTAAATACGCTGTATCTGTGTGTGAGTTGCAATTTTGAGAAATTGCTTAGACAACTGATAGCTGATGTGTCAGCTTCGTCAACAGATAGCAAATTAAGTTGCAGCAGCTGCAGCGTAGTAAATGTATCTACTATTCGACAGCGAGACGGCCGCAGCTGTTACAAGCATCGCATCTTATCATCTTATCGCATCGCCGTGTGTCATCTTTTTCTCTCTATCCGGAAAGCGACAAGCAAAGCAAACAAGTCTTGCAAGGAAATTAAATCCCAGTCAATATCCAAATTGAAATGCCCCCCAATTGAAATACCCACTAAGACTTTGCCTTATCAAATTGCAAATAAAACGCGTTTGCTTTCTGATTAAAAACTATCTTCATTGTTTACATATTTCCATGATGTATTATGTACAATATATGCGTTTGGCAATGGTATATATATATATATATATATATATATATATACATATATGTATATATATATCTATATATATGCATATCTTATGGACAGACTATATCCATCCACACGATTGACAAATGCCTATCACTATCTTCATTGTTTACATATTTCCATGATGTATGATGTACAATTTATATACATACATATATATCTATTTTTGTTTTTATATATATATTTATACCTTATTGAGACTCTATATACATACACCTCATTCACAAATGCTGGGAACAATGGCTATTAGGGGCAAAGGGAAAAGCGATAATCCTTGCGATAATCCACAGTAATCAAATGATCCGCATCGTCCAGCGCGGATTGAGCTACAAAATCAAAACTGTCGTTTAGTTATGAATATTATATATGTAAGGATTTATGTACACCCTGCATTTTCAGGCTGCTGTTTTAAATTGTCATTGTTGTTGCGTCTATTCGCGAGTTTATCCAGTTCCGTGCCATATGGCAGACGTCCTCCACAAGGCCCAGATTATCATTAGAAGCCTAGATTATAAAGACAGGAAATGAGAAGTAATACGGGCAATTCATTTTACCGGTTAACAGCTCTTCTTTTTCTTTTTTTTTTCTCGAGTGGTAACAACGTAAGGGCGAGCTCGTTGTTGGGGGTGGGTTTGGGTGGGTTTTGTGGGTGTTGAGTGCTCGAAGAGAATCAGAACAAGAGAGAGAGAGAGAGAGAGAAAAGACAAAAACAGAGAAAGATATAGTTTTGCCAGTTTCTGTTGAACAAATTGATCAGCGCAAAGCATGGACAGAAAACATAACAGTTATTTTCGTTACGAAATGTAATGCATAAATGACACATAAATATGTATCCACAAACATACACATGTAAGTGTGTAGCACAGTTGTGTTGTTAGATGAAAATATCATAATTTTTCCAATCGATTCCTGTGGGCAGTTGTCCTTTCTTTTGTTGTTGTTGTCCTTGCTGCTGCTTCTTCTTCTTTCTATTTATCTACCTATCTTCTTTCTATTTATTTATTCATTCAACGACGCTGATTGACAACGGTAAACACTAATTAATTAATAGGGTCATCCACACAGACCGCCATCTAGCGCTGTTTGAATTATGGAAAATGCATTTGAGATGCATTTGGCCATCTCTCAATTCAAATAAAAAATAGTAAATACTATTTGAAGCACTCATAGGTTGTATTTAAGATTGGCATTAAGTATATAAACACGATATTGGAGAATATATCTTGTATATACATATGTATATACAATGAGAAAAAAATGTACTTACATTCTTGATTTCGGTCATTTTTAAATTGTAATTCGAATGGCGGGCATCGCAGTGAATGTCAAATATTTCCAGTGCTTGAAAATGTCGTAAAAATAAATGAACTATGAACTTTCTCTGGTGATTGAAAAATGATGTGCTACTTTTTATACGGCAAAACTTTACGGGGCAGCATCAAGAGAGATAGAGCTCTAATAATGCACATAAATGTACAAAACTGTAGTAATCGATAACAGTACAGCGATAACAGTCGGTGTTTGATGGGAGCAGTATAATCGCTTGCACAGCTGTTTGTCGTACGACCGCACGTGTTGGCAGAGCTGCATTTCATTTTTTCCCTTATTTGGTTGTTGTTTTGGTGTTGTTGCGCGGCGGCGTCATTTAACCGGTAATTCATATACAAACACACGAAGTTATTTGTGAAACAATTCACAATGGGCAAAAACAAACGCAACAACAACAAACAGCAGCAGCAGCACAAAAGCACTCAGCAAGCAGCGACAACAACGACAACAACGCCAACGCCTACGCCAAATGCCAAAAATGCGACTCCAAAGAGCAACAGCAACAGCGGCGCCTTGAGAATACCCAGCCTAAGCGAGAAGGATCGGCGGGCGTTGAATGCGATCGCGCAGGCGATATTAAAACTGGTGCAGACACAGACCGCCAATCCCAACGAGGAGTGGAAGCAATATGTGGAATTGCAGCGACTGCTCGATAGCATGATGCTGCTCGAGAAGCCGCTGCAGCTGGCCACGCGCAGCCCGGAGGACAGCAGTGGGGTGGAAAGCGAAAAGACGCGTCTCGCCAAGGTGGCCGCCTTCAATGAGTGGGCCCGTGCCGGCGGCGTGCAGAGCGATTGTGTGGAGATCACCACATTTCCCGGCTATCAGCTGGGCCTGCGCGCCAAACGTGATATCGCTGCCGAGGAGCTGGTGCTGAGTGTGCCGCGCAAGCTGATCTTCTCCGAGGAACTGCTGCCCGAGTGGAAACGCGAACTGTTCCGCAATTTCCCCACCCACCTGAATGTCACCTACACTCTGATCATCGAGAAGGTGCGCGGAGCAGCCAGCGCCTGGCAGCCCTTCATCGATACGCTGCCCACCCGGTATAGTACCGTGCTCTACTTCACCGTCGACCAGATGCAGCGACTCCGCGGCACATCCGCCTGCTCAGCTGCAATGCGCCATTGTCTCGTCATTGCCCGCCTCTACGCCTCCATGTACAAGTGCGCCTACATCCAGCCCGGCGACAACGTTATGGCTGCCAAGGCCAATCTCTTCACCGAGTACGGCCTCTGCTACGAGCTCTATCGGTGAGTATTTCTCTCTCTCTCTCTCTCTCTCTCTCTCTCTCTCTCTCTCTATGTGTGTGCCTGTGTGTGTGTGTGTGTGTACTCACAATATTTTCCAAATAAAGAAGAGCTTATTTTTTTGTCTGTCCGTCTGTCCGCTGATATCTCAGCTGGCCTGATCTATTTATGTTCTGATTTCATTCTGATTGGTTATTTTCTAATTATGGATCGGCATCTGGAATTGGATTGGCATTAGCTAAGGGCCCCTTCTTATTGAGGAAAATGCGCGGAATGGGGCACAAATGTGGCAGGGTGTCAAACGGAAGTCGGAATCGATTACCGATTGAAATTCAGAATCGGAACCTATATTACACATTTTTTTAAGGAACTCATTATTTGTCCCGAAATAAGTTTATCGGAATATGTTAGTGAAACATTATTGTAGTCATTAGCTGTATGTATGTGGATGTGCTTGTATCAGACAGACAGACAGACTGCTGAATATATATTTAGTTATATATATATATATAATATATATATATATATATATATATATATAATTATACATATGTATATATTTAATTTATGGGGTTGCAGATGTTTCCTTCTGCATTCACAATTTTATCAGCATACCGTAAAAGCCAAGATATCAATACGCTAGCGAATGCCTTGAAAAGGTTTGAAAAATGAAACCGGGAATTCCACTGGAATATTTCGGTTCGCTTTGATACCCTGTTCAGTATGTACGTAAGTAGAGTATGTACCTAAACTGATGAGACTGATGACCGACCTTGGAAGCCGAGTGAAAAGAAAGAAACCTGTACAACATGGAATTTAACTTTTTATTCAGATCAACTACTTTTAGGTAATACACTATAAGTGTTATTTGAGTTCAACTCTAATCAGATTTGAGTATATTCGATTTTAAATTCCGCTGGCGTATCGAATGCGTGTGTCCAATTAGAAAATGTTGCCAGGCATTTGTTGCATCTAATTTTCGTCATATTTCATAATTACACATTTTTTTACTACATTTTATTTCAAAAAAAGAAGAATAAAATAAAACGACCAAAAGTCAAAAACAAAACGTAACTTATTTACATGCTTACATATCTGTATGTATATAGTATATAATATATATATATATATATATATATATGTATATATATATATATATACATATTTGTATAATTAGTATATATGTGTAGTTCAGTATTTCGTATTTTGTGGCCACAGCAAAATGTTAAAATTGGAAAAAATATAGAAATATATCTTGAAAGTGTTGTTAGATATTCTAATATACGCCAGTGTTGAGCAATTTGCAGTTTTACAGTGCACTAATCGGAACTACAGTTAGTGTTGTTGTTCGTGTTGATATTCTGTTGAATGCCAAATCCACTAATTTTGTTTATATGTTGACTCTCATGTCAATTGAAATATTTATTGTCCTCAAAAATGTTTTGAAATTCCAACCGATTTTGCATAGTTTTTCTTCATCATTTTTATACTTTGATACCGAAGGTCTCTCTACGTTCTTTAGAGGGCTGGGAAATCGATAAAATCGATAGCTGCAAATCGATTGAGTCACATTTCCACAATTTTAAGACTACAGTCACCAATTTGGTTGGTAGGTTGTTGGTAATGTCCTTCAAAGATCTGCATATGCCACGCCCACCTCCGAAGCCTCAGGCCCGCCGCGCTTACAAATTGCAAATGGCTATATCTGCCCCAGTTTTTGAGTTAGAGCCGTCGGATTTGGTAGGTATATTACTGGTAGTCGCCTTTGCGAACCGATATCAAATTTTTATGGCCCGCACACTCCCGTCCCCAAAAACGATAAAAGCGTATATCTCCCGCAATTTAAGAGCTATGGTTAGGAAACTTAGAAGGCAGATTACTGAGACCTTCTTTCAAAATTTGTTTCGGCCACACCCTCTCCCGCCTCCAAAATTCACAAAAGCCTATATCTACCGCAATTTGAAAGCAAACTTGGGCAGTATTTCTTGGCTACACCCAATTTGTTCTTTGCTATCTGTCATCAGCTGGTATTACTTATGGTATCAAAGTATTTCGCAGTCGGTTACGCCCGAATGCAACGTTCTCTCTTGTTGATGTTTGTGTTTGTACAAAACAGTCCCCACAAAATTAATTCAGTACAACTGTACTCGTGTGGCTCTTTCTCTGTGTTTTTTGTTGTGTGTGTGTGTGTATGTGTGTGTGTATGTTTGTGTGTATGTGTGTGAGCTAATGCATTTATTGTGGTGCGCTACCGAAACCCATTTCTAATGCTGTTTGTGCTTCTGAAACGCAGTTTTTAAATTCACTTATCTTGGCCTTTAGGTTTCCTCTGTCTTATTTTACTTTTTCCTCATAGGTTTTCAATTATTTCATATGATTTTTATTTGAAAGGTTATAGTTGTAAAATAATGTGCCACCCGATAGTTTAACGACGCCCGAGCGTACTGAGCTGTAGTTCGCATTGTGAATTGCGCTTAATATCTAAGTACGGTTCTATATAAATACGTTTCTGAAAGACAACATGACACTAGCCCACAGAAAACCACTGGAAGCGAGACGAGCCTTAAGCTAACAAAATGATGTTGGTTGTGCACAATTTATTGGTCAAAGTGATGTTAATAACGTTTGCTTCTTCTTCTTCACTTCCGTTCGAAGCCTCTTTGATGATGAGGCATGCAACATATGTACAATGCACTCGAAATCCGCTGGTGGGTACAGAACCCTCTGTACCTACTGGGAAGACGTTCAAGTGGCCAAATTTGGACTTGCATTCCCATTCCCAATTCTACTTTTCAATTATTCTTGCTAATGCTTCTCGTTTCTTGTTACGTTACTGTCTTCTCTTTAGTCTACTCGCTTTTCTTATCTAACTTCTTGCTCGCAGGCAGCAGAAAGTTGAGCACATGTGTAGTTCAGTGTCATGGGCTTCAGCTAGTTTTCCTCTCTTCTTTGACCGCACAAAAAAAAAAGTCTCCATCACTTATTAATAAACTATAACTTATAACTTATGCACTTTACGGTGTGTATATTTTTAACATATATATATATATATATATATGTATATATATTTGTATATATAAAACTTGGCCTAAACGGAGCGATCCCACTACATGTCGTCTAGTGTTATCTAAAGTGTGTGTGTGTGTGTTGTAACTAGGGTCTAGAGCTTAATTATCGAATGATTTGCGCAATGTATCGAATAGATACTCCTGCACCTCCGGTGAATTGGGATCCATGGTGTTGAGCTTCTGATGTGCAGTGCGCAGTGTAAGGGCCAGTGAATTGACACCGCCACGCCCGCCGCCCGCCGATTTGGCTGTTGCTGTTGCAGTTGATGTTGTTGCTGACACTGATGCTGCTCCTGCTGCTGTTGATTTTGACGCTGCGAGCTGCGAGCTGCATGTGGATCCCTCGCGATTGAACAACAACGAGCTCTGACGCTGCAGCTGATGCTGATGATGGTGATGATGATGCACTGGCGTGTTGCACGACACGGTTGCAACACTTATAGGCTTGTGGCAACTGTTGTTGTTGATGCTGTTATTGTTGGTACTGCTGCTATTGCTGTTGCAGTTGCTGTTGCTGCTACTGCTACCAATGACCAGCTCCTCCATGTGCTCCCGCAGCGAATTGCGTCGCGAAGCGTTCGCAGTTTGCGCCAACTGCGGTAATTTACTCTTCATTGCATTGTATGTCTTCAGATAGCTGGTCTTGCGCCGCCGATGCTGCTTCCAGCGGCACACAACAAATATGACCAGCAGTGTGGCCATCGAGGTGAGCACTATGGCAGCACTGGCAACAATTGCCGATCGTATGCCCGCTGGCATGCTAGTGTATAAATTGTTGCCACTGCCATTGCCACTGCTGCTGCTGCTGCCGCCCAAATGCTGTTGCGACATCGATGTGGCGGCCGCAGCAGACGGACTACGTCGGAAGCCATGACCGGATAGTTCTAGATCCAATAGATCGTGTGCACGTGCCACTTCATTCTCAATAGTGTCGATCACATCGCTGTTGTCCTCGTTGCGGCCCATTGCTGCTGCCAGCCTTGTGGCATTATTTCCATTGCTTCCGTACGCATTTACGCTCAGATCAATGTCCATGCTGTTGCTGTTGTTGTTGTTGTCGCTATCGTTGTCCAGTTCCTGCGAGCTGCCAGCGTTACCATTAAGCAGTAGGCGTGGCTGCGGCAAATAGTACGCATTCCGCTTATCCTCCAAGTTGCCGGCAACGGAGCCAGCCGAGCGTCCAGCGAGCGAGGCGAGCGCCAGCGTCTTCCATGATGGAAAGAAACCCAGCGACTTCTCGGCCCGCTGTTGTTGTTGCTGTTGTTGGGCTGTTAAGGTGGCTGCTAAGGATGTTTGAGCATAGGCGGGTCCTGCGTACCAGAGCGGGCGAGAGAGAGAGATAGACAGGAAGTTGGTATGATAAATAATATTGCATGGAAATGAGTGTGTGTGTGTGTGTGTGTGTGTGCGTGTGTGCGTGTGTGTGTGCGTACAGTGTGTGCGGCGGTTATAACGAGCTGTGGCATGTGTGCTAGATTACCAGTCGTTGGTTTGGCATATTTGTCTGTGTGATTTTATACAAATACCGGCTATCGATAAATATCAATATATCAATTTGTGAGTTATCGTTGTAGGGAACATGCCATGGTAAACCATGATCATGACCACTATCTATCGAGCGGTTGCTTTGTTTGCCATCGATAAAATGCAATCGATAATCGATATATGATATTGATACATATTGATATCAATTGCAGCTTCACATTTGACATATTTAAATAAGTTATTGTTATGATGAGCAACTAGACCAACTTTTCGACAACCAACCGCTTGCACGCGCTTCGATATTAATCGATAGCCGCTAATATGCCGCCACATCCCCAGCTGTTACTTACGTGTGTGCATTTGGCCCGTGCTAAGCTGCTGCCGCATTGTTGAACACGAACACGAACAACAACAACAACAACAACACAGCAACAATAGAAAACCAATAAT